GACCTTGACCTTGACCTTGACCTTGACCTTGACCTTGACCTTGGGCTGCAGCTGGTAGTGCTATAGCTATAGCACTACATCTAGAGCTACATCTTGAGCTACATTTAGAGCTACATCTAGAGCTACATCTAGAGCTACATCTAGAGCTTCATTTAGATCTGCATTGGTGGTATCATTGTTCTTGGAGGTGGCGACAGCCCTATATTGATGTGAAAAGAAAGTATATATTTAAGAAACATCTATAGATTACAAGTGCCAGTTCTAGTACTAGTATTTTGTAGTGGAGTAGCTCAGCTAAAGTTGTACTCACTGGGCTCAAGCCCACATAAGATACAAAGTACTACTACTAGCAGTCAATGCAACAGCCATACTCAAAGTATTCCCTAGAACTTACTGAATTTGTTCCCAGCTAGTAAGTATAGTAACAGCAAGCTCATTCACAAAACTAGTTCAGTACTGGTGCAACAAAAGATCAGTACTAGCATTAACTGGGGACAAGTGCTTCTGAAGAATGGATGCATTCTAAAGAGGTATGCAGCTAACCCAATGCAATGATCTCAACAACAGTACTGGTGCTGCAGTACTGTAGCAGCAAAAGATCTAATAGCATTAACTGGGGGCAAGGGCTTCTGAAGAATGGATTCATTCTGAAGAGGTACTGTAGCAGTATGCAGCTAGCCCAATGCAATGATCACAACAGGAGCAGTACTACTACATGTAAAATAACAATTGAAACTGTGTTAATTGAGGCATTGGTACTAATGTTAATTTAACATTCCAAATGTTAGCAATGTAGGCTGTGTAGAAATCATGAGTCACTGCAGTTTTTGCTTCAATTTAAGGACATGAATACTCTGCTTAGTAACAGTCTGAAAGTTAGCAGTGGAGGTGTCCTCTTCTTCCTCTTTTTTAGAACCCTTCTTCCTTTTTAGACATGTGGTGCAAGACTGAATGAAGAAAAAATCTTAATATTATATTTAACCTCATGAACTAGAAGGGGCACCACTCTATGGCCAGAACCATAGCTTTTGGTGGAAAGCATGCTTCTAGTCACTCTGACGGGTAGCACTTCAAGACTTAATAAAGAATGTAAATAATACTATGATCTACTTTGGGCTGCGCTATAAATTTATCATTCTGTACGTTAAATTAACAATTACTAGTAAAATAGTTTCAATTGTTATTTTACTTTTAGTACTGCTGGTGCTGCAGTAAAGTGAGTCCTTCATTGTATTCCATATTTGGAATCAAACACAAATCTCAAATGTATTCATGAAAACTGACATCATACCTTCAATTTTATTGTCTTTTGATATGTTGTTGTTGTTGTTGTGTTGTTCAATAAGTTGCTGTCTATTCGTTGTTTGTTTTTTGTCATTTTGTTGTCTCTTTTGTTGTCATCCTGCCATCMCTTTTGTCGTTGTTTTGTTGTCTGGTCGTTTGTTTGCCATTTGTTTGGAGTTTCTTGTTTGTTTGCCTTTGTTTGTCTTTTTGTTGTCTCTTCTTGTTTCTTACAGCATGGTGGTGTTTTGTGTTGTTCTGTCTTTCCTCCCTTTAGTTGTTTCACTTTGCTGTTTTGCTGTTTCTTGTTTCTTGTCTCATTTTGCTTTGACAAATGGTTGTTTTGTCTTGTCGTTTGCTGGAACAAAAATCTTTCCAACTACAAGTAGTACCTCATACTTAAAAGTACAATACTATGCTACATACATGGTACTCATACATACCCTACAACACACCACCCTACATCCAATTTTTGACTTCCACTGGCCGTGCACTGCAAAGTGCAGAATCAATTACTAGAGCTTCCTCCATCTGACAATGACCGTCCCGTGACTCCTTTTCTGCTGCCCGGATATGACAGTCCCCTAACTACTATGTGCCCAGTAGGATACTGTCCAATCACTACCAGAAACATCTTTTGACTGTCAAATTGATTGCAACTAAATAATATTACTACTGGTTAACTACTACTCTTGTGCCTGCAGTGTTGGCTTCCACTTGAGGAGCCTGTGCGAGTAGTGCACATCCCACATTAATGCAATCAGCATCACAAATGATCAAGATCGGAAGGGTACCTTCTCTCATCAGGCTTCTTGCTTTTCCCATGTGCGGAAGCTTGTAGTTGTTATCACCATCTACACCAAGAGACACTCCCATACAAGCCTGGAGGGACAAAAACGCATTAGTATTCTTCAACACTGTTTCAAGCTTCTTGCACTCATCAAACGCTTCCTCCACATTTGTGATCAAATGATCACTAGTATCCTTTGAGCACTTCTTATACTATAAGCTTTTAATTGAATTGAAGAATCCAAGGTCAATTAAATTCAAGAAGTCCGAACTGTTTGGTGGTTGAGTCTTGGCAGTAATGTTCCAGCCTTTGCTAGCTGCAGCTGCTTTCACCTTGTCCCTGATACTAGAAGCCTTATGAGGCTTTGCATTATCTTCCAGGATATGTACTGTACGAAGTGAAAAATTATGAATCCTCTGTCATCTCAAAATTCCGTCTCATGTCCAAATCGGTACTGGTAATGGGTGATTCCCGAAAACATATTTTACAATATGTTTTCGGGAATCACTTTCAGTGGCACTGAAGGCACAGCCGGCCGGCTCAACTTACATATTTTCCCTCCATTTTTGGAATTTGGAATCCTGCATAATTGCACACTAATTTCACAAGATTCCAACAATTTGGGATTTTCACGAAGACAGAATGTGTCTTCCGAACTTCCGAAACTGTGCCTGCTCCCGAGACTGGAAATTGTTAAGTCAAGGATTCCAATTAAAAAATATGTAAATTACATAAAAGTTGGTTGTCGTGGGCCCATGACAACCAACTTTTATGTATTTTGGGTCATAATGGGAGCCTGGCGTGCCAAAATTTACACAGATCTATGTTTTCGGGAATCACCCAATGGTATCTTTCTTGCCTCATAATCAGTTGAAAAGTAAGAACCGTACCGTACGTATCATATCGTACGGTTATTTGAGAATGTTTGAAGAATCGTCCGATGTAGTCTTTGTCAACCGGGATGAGTAGTGTTCGCGTTTATTTGACGGATACCTGAAGTGATCATAATTAACAATTATCATCCTCTTCTCAAAATCAAGATGACCAACTACAACTCGAAGTATGCGTGCCTGCATGCTTCCTGTTTGTTGCTATTACTGATAGCTTCGTCAACGGTCACATTTGCGGAAAGCTTCTTGCAGTGCAAGAATTCCATTTCATCCGTCGATCACCCAACGCCGGTTCGCCACCGGGCAGGCATGCACATCGGTAGCGCCATAAGCACAAGAGTCCAGTCTTCGACCGACAAAGCCGTTTCTATCCCTCCGGGTGGCGGTGACAAAAGCGTTTCTTCTCCGGAAGAAGAGCGAACCAAGGCGAACGAAATCATGACCTATTGTGCGAAAATAACGGCTCTCTCTGCCGTCGTGGATCTCCTCGTCGATGGATCCAGTCTCATTGCTGGAATTGCTTCCGGCGACTGGATTTTTCCCCTGACTACGCTTTGGAAAGTGAGCTTCAGCTACAACGTGTGGAGGGTTTCCAAATTGTACAAGAAAAAGACCAAAACGGTCTCCGATCTCTATCAATTGCTGGAAAAATTCCTGGTCAGGATGACTGGGATCTGGCGGCGCCTCGCCGTAATGGTGTCGCTCTTGTCCCTGGAGTCGGTGGTAACCGTGTGGAAGGATTCCATTCCGAACATACGTCCGGCGCTGAACGCGTTGTATGCCTTTGTGGGTATCGTTTCCATCAAGCTCTCTGCGAACGAGACGGAAAACCTTGCTATTAAACGCCCGGAAGGGCAGGACGACGAGGCTTCCCCGCAACGAATCGTACGTCTGGGACGGGTGGCGGTCCGCGCCATGTCGCTCGGGGTCTCGGCGTTCGTCCTCGACTCGATCATGACCCCCGCTATTGCACTCCGAAAACCAAGGGGAGAAGCTATCGTCCTCCTCCTGGATCTCACGGTATCCATTCCATTCGCCATTGTCCTGTGGAAGCTGAGGAGGTCCTATATTGGGTTCATTGAGGACGTGGCAAATACCCCCATTGGCGGTTCGTCGTCTCCGACGATGAAGGCGAGGGTCGTCAAACCCGAAACCCAGATTCAGCTCGCGATAGCACAACAGAATTTCTGGGGAAGGATCAAGTCGTTTCAGCAACACCAAATGTTTTACAAGACCTTGGCCCTAATTGCACAGTATAAAGTGATTGAAAAAGTTCCCGGGGTCTTCGCAAAATGAATCATTTTCCAAGGCTACGAGTTCAGGGGCATCAAGCCGTGTTTGGTAGAAGCATGGAGAGAAACGCGCGCTTTGAAGAATCGATCAAATGCACCGGTAATGTTGTTTCATTTGAACGGTTGCAAGAATTAACCGAAACTAGTAGTATTCCAACTCCGGGAAAAAATTTCGGTTGTATCGTTGCTGGAAGTAAATCTCTCTCCTACCTGTCTTCCAAAACTGGAAGGGCTGCCAATGCAACTAGGGGTGCATCAAAATTAAGATTGTTTTTCTCCAATGAGTGGAGTTGGTCTGGGTCCTGAGTGGTTTCTGTATGCAACGATGCTCAGTTGCTGTGATGATTCTACACCCATTCCATTCCGATAGAATATATATAGTATCTTCTTGAATGCACCACACATATGAAGTAATAAAGATGCGTTCCTGTTTCTTGTTATGGATTGTAGGTTTCTCGTCCCTCATTGTTTTAGTTGGAGCCAAAGCATCATCATGAAATGGTTCTTGACCATGGATTTTTCTTCTTTTCTTGTTGTTGTTCTTCACTGGGTAAGAGGGAAGGACAATAAAAACTATGTACAGTGGGATAACTTTCCTAGTTGGATTCGAGGGAAGAATAAACAAGTGTTAGATGTGGTTTCACTGCTAGTATTAGTGGTAGTACTACTAGTAGTATCCTGTTTGATAGTACCTACTACTAGATGACGGTCAGATTACACGGCTATCAGCTGTCGTTTTGTACCTTATTCTGTGCTATGTATGGTACACAACAGTAGCAGTTAGTACTGGTACTACCTATCTACAAGTAGCTTGCTTGATACTTGTACATATGTACTGGACTATACCAGAGTACCACCATATGTACAAATATTTACAAAAACTAGTGAAAAAATAAAAAAATCATCAAGCTTACTGAGGACCCCCCTTTTGTGATTTTTTTACAACATCATGCACTTCTCTATGCACACGAACTTTTTTCTGCCATATTAAAAAAATTCTAGCTAAACCAGGCCAATACTTAATATTTTTACTCCAGGGGTCGTGATACACAACCTCAACAGATTTGACAACAGTAACCTCCAACCGGGACTCTTGGAATACAAATGCTGGATTTACACATGTAATTAGTATTACTCTCAAGTAACCTAGGTGGAATCATTATTCTAGAACAATGATTCTGCTACCAGCATATGGTTTTGAATTTATGGAACAGTCAGCCCCATTGCTACCTCACAGGTGAGAAAATAAATGAATAACCGTGTTACCATTATGTATGATGAATGAATTCTACAAGTGCATTCATGCAATACTAAACTTCTTCTACAACAGTCCCCACTGTTCCCACAATTAAATTATTTGGGCACACTTTAGAGTCTCATTGCTTAGGTTTCTAAACCTTTTCTTGCAAACATTAATGACTCATGCTGTCCATCAAAGTAACATCAACCCTGGATTCCAAGTCTTGTTGTGGTGCAGAAACTTCCCCTCTGGAGCCCACCTGTCTCTCCTACCGCTTCTTGCATCACAGAATCTCTTCTGCTCCAATTTAACTGACCCGTCTCTCTTTCTCAGGAGAGAGGATTCCCACACATGAAGTTCATTGTAAAGCATTAGGAATGCAAATCCCTCATCCTCCACACTGAAAATCTTACTGAGCAAATGCTTCGTCCCTTTTGTATTTCTGCTGAATTGTTATTCCTGGCATTAACAGATGCCATGATTCTTGTAACAAAAAAATAAAACTCAAGATTGTCTACACTACCATAAGCCCCGTAGAGTGGGTGTAGAATCTTCTTCCCTTTATACTTCAATTCCCAATCAGAAATGCCCAATGTTCCTGGAAATCCGTCTGAGACGTTTCCCTTTTCACTGTCATCTGTTGTTATGGATCATAAAAGGAAAATGGACATGTCCACAGTTAGACCATTAGTGGGGAAGCAGGATTATCAGCAGACAATTCTTCTATAGTGGTACGCACCAAGCCATTTTTTCTTGCATAACTCAGAGTGTTGTGTCATATTTTGTTCAGCACTTGTGGTAACAGGGTGTTCTCCAAGTAGAGACAAAGTTTGTCATCACAATCAAACCCCTGACAGCTGCTAACACAACCTTTCTTGATTGCCTGTTGACACACATATTTGTTGATCTTATTGTTCATCAAAACTTTCATGTCACAAAAGAACTTGGATTCAATGTACCCTTGAATATTTCTGGTGAGCATTTGCTTGTTCAGTTTAGAAATTTTCTCACTGGGGACCACTGTAACCATAATTGTACCTTGTGCCAGTCCTGGTGCTGCTAAACCAAGACCTGTTTTTACATTCGTTGACTCCCTTGTAATCTTCTCCATTTCTTTTCCCATCAACTATGGGAGTGACTATCTAATAGTGATGTAAATCAAGTGCTAGAACAAAAGTGAGTTGATGCTCTTGGTATCAAGGATTGACAAACTATGAAATCTAAAATCAATCAGAATGCAGATCAAGTGATGTGTGAATTGAATGAGTAAAGTCAGTCATGCAAGTGAATCAAACAACTTTGAGCAAATATATCATTACATTTCCCAGCCCACAAACACAACTGGTCATGCTTCCATAAACACTCCTCAGAGGAAATCCCTGCCCCTTGGAGCAACTAGTAGGAGCATACTTTCCAACCAAAGCTATGGTCCTGGTCATATAGTGCCTCTTCTAGTTCACAAGGTTAAATATAATATTAAGATTTTTTGAAGCACTGACCTTATCCAAGCTCCAGCTTTACGTATTCAAGCACAGACTGTATTCAAGCTCTGGTAGGCAACCCTTTTGTCCCAAAATTGTGTTGTACCAAAGCACTGACCTTATCTGGTTCCGACTTACTATAGTAGCATTATTTTGTATTTCAAATACAGCATGTGATTCAGGCTATGAGATTGGGATAGGAGGAGGTGGAAGAGTTTTCTCCTGGTCCTTGTCTTTGGTTTCAGACAAACTGTCTATCTTTTCTGGGATGATTTGTTTCTTTTCTTCTTTGCAGGAGGAGGAGTGGCCTGGTTTTCCTTGCTATCCTGGTCATCATATCTATCCTTGCTGGCCAACCCACCACTGTTGTCACCACTCCTCAACTTGCTTGGTTTTCTTCCTTTTGCTGGCAATTTCATCTCTTCTTCTCCAACATTGGTTTCATTGGAGTCATTCTTCCACACTGATTTGTTTGCAGCTGAGGCTCTCTCCTCCTTTCTTTTTTGTCCCAAAATGTTCAGGCACATTTGGCTTGCCCAACATGTTTGGGGATCATTGTGAAACTAGTCAAAGATTCACTCTTCCTTCCCAATGGCTATATTCACTCTTCTCACAGGGGCATGGGTTCAGGAAGTTGATCACAAGAACTCCTATATATTTTGCTACCATTTTCTTCTGCCACTCTATGTGCTTTGGATCCTTTAATAAATGCCATACATCTGCAACAGCATCTCTCCCAATGTTGTTTTCATCTTGAAATAGGATAGTTGTATTCCACATGAGGGTTTTGATTTGGGTATTTGTGTTCTGCAGGAGGGGCTTGTTTTAGGTAGTAACAATGCCTTGTTTGAAGTTGATCTGGTTTTTGATGTAGCAAATGAAAAAATAATAAGGAGAAAGGAAAATAATGCCAAAACTTCATTGTGTTGCTGCACAAAAATAATGACAAAAATTGTTGCACACACACCCAGTACAGTTGGTGCACAAAAACCTTAGAGTCTGATTTTCATTGACTAGTATTGGAAATGACATACAGACGAAAGACAGAAACCAGACAATTAGCCACCTCACAAAGTCCAATACCTTGTAAATTCAAGAGCCCCCACACCTCAACAAGCCTTGGCCTCATTCTCGAAAGTATTGCAGTGAAGGACTGCCACAGTAGGATAAGACATGATGTGAAATAGGAAGATTCACCCCCTTCCCCGCCCTTTAGTAACACAGGAGTAAAAACCGTCGCAAAACAATAATAGGTCAACAGGGTCAAGACACCACCTCATAAACCCAAGACCATTACACATTTCACTACATGTAGATCTAATCACATTAGTCAAATCCTAATTTTGGCAAACACTATGAAAGGTCAAATAGCTGACCACTTAGATCCTTACGACCTCAGACCATGGAGGTACAAACATATGGTACCACAGTACCAAAAGGCCCAGAATATCTTGTGGCACCAGTCCCAGAGCAATAACAGAAGAAGGAAGACAAGGCTACAATAACTCAGGCTAAGAGCAGTTAGGAACAACTGTGATTAGTTGAATTATATAGTCTGGACATATTTTTGTCAACTCTGATATAGCTCAGTTATCAATGAAAAATATCATTATCTTTTTAGATTCTTTAAATGACATAAAAAAATTGTTACTGAATAGAGCTATCAAAGGCAAGTCCCACACTGGCAAGTTAATGGCAATTCCTGTACAAATACTAGTAGAATTTAGCTCATTTTTACAAGTAAAACCCTTTACTACTTTAACTGTCATTTTACAAAATTGTGAAGAAATTGTCACTCAACTTCTGAAAAATTCTGGTGCAGAGAATGGCTAAGGACTGCACCAGGATTTTTTCAGGAACTGAACCAGTTGAACCAATACTTACACATTATTTTTTCGAAAGAAAAATTACGGATGGCACCACTGCAGAAACAGAAACAATAATAACACAGAGATGCCAACCAAAGCTCAACTAATACTGCAACTGAAACAATGGATAGAGTAATAGTATTAGAGCTCCTTCAGTTCCATGAAACCATTGTGGAGGACTTTGAAGTAGCTCTCCAGATTGAAGATGAAACAAGCAAGCAAACCAACGATTCTTCTACCAGTTAGAATCACTAATCTGCATCACACATGTCTGCTCAGCACCATTTATTATAGGTTTGCTGTGTGTAGATCAGGATCAAGTGATGTCAACTTGGACTCAATGCAGGGCATTCTGTGTCTAATTCAAGTCAACCCAACCATGTCTGCAACTGACCTCTGCCCATTCCTTGCTAGGCATCTGCCTTCACATGCAGCACTACTAACAGCACAGCATCTAGTGAATTTTCATGTGAACAAGGCATCAAGTATCTAGCATTGTATGGCAATAAAGAGGAGGTTACAGAGCAAGAGGAGGTACATTTATTGGAAAATGAAAACACAGCTGAAGAATCAATTGGAACAGATGACTGCTATCTAATGTTATGACAAAGGGAGACGCCTGGGCAGTAGTGGATTTCTTTGACCAACTGAAAGAAACACAACCTCTCTTTTGTTATTCCAGGGGGGTTCAGGTGAACCAGAAGCAATAATGTGGTACACTGTAGAAATGCACTGGGATCTCATCAGGCATTCATCAACTTTATTTACAATTTTCAAATTAAATTTTTGCAAATGCATTCTTCGCAGGACACTCTGCTCTGCTCCATCTTTGTACAAGAAAGATACAGCTCTCAATTGAAAATTATAAATTATACTTAGTAGAATTAGTACTAGCTTCTACACAAAGCAATTCAGACTCATACCTAGGTACCATGACCGATCCCAAACCAAAGGGCAACGATCCACTGGATCCAAACACCACTGACCCCCCCCCCCCACACACACACACCACCATAAACAAGGGACCCACCAGTGGTCCTCTAAAGG